TCATCTTTGTTGTTAGTAATATATATTTGTTTATCACTGACGACCAAACTTTCCACCAAGCAAGTTGTGACTACACCAGCTGAGTTTTTGGCTCAGTCCACAGACAACATACTTTGTATTTGTACTAATCTTTGCTGTTAAAAAAAAAAAAAAAAAAAAAAGGAAGGATTTTACAGTGAATATTAGCTGCTTTGTACTTGTTACCCATGCTGCTCTGTAACACAAGCTCATGTTCAGTCATGCTTTAGTGCAAGTCAGGCATAATGAATGCTTTTATTGTCTGAGCGTAGGTGTAGGTTTCAGGTTCATTTCAGGCTGCTTTTATAGTCTTCACCAGAATAAAAACCATGTTATCAGAGCAACCCTTCAGAAGGGCTGCAGAGAGGACTTTTCCTTTGTGCTTTATGGTCACATTTAATCATTCACTTTTTGTCCCACCCTAGAGTCTGACTGACTTAAAGGGATAGGGTGCTATTCGAATGATTGCTGTCCAACCACCTACACGTTGTTTATCTGCAGTTGTGCCATTTTGAAAGGACGTGTTTTGGTTGAGCCCATTTTAAACAGTTTTGCACATAAACCAATAAACTGCCATTAAGAAAATATTTGTCTTTCAAAAAGTTTCCATGTTAAGATACCAATGATGTACTTGAGTCTGCTATGTGACTGAAAGATGCAATCTACACTCAACAAAAATATAAACGCAACACCTTTGTTACTGCTCCCATTCCCCATGGGATGGACATAGAGACCTAAAATTCATTCCAGATACACAATATAACCATCCCTCCCAAACAGTGGTCACAAATCAGTCCAAATGTGTGGTAGTGGGCACATCTGCTATATTGAGATAATCCATCCCACCTCACAGGTGTGCCACATCAGGATGCTGATCTGACATCATGAGTAGTGCACAGGTGTACCTCAGACTGCCCACAACAAAAGGCCACCCTGGAATGTGCAGTTTTGTCTCACAGCAAAATGCCACAGATGCCACAAGCAATGAGGGAGCGTGCAATTGGCATGCTGACAGCAGGAATGTCAACCAGATCTGTCGCCTGTGCATTGAATGTTCATTTCTCAACCATAAGCCGTCTCCACAGGCGTTTCAGAGAATATGGCAGCACATCCAACCGGCCTCACAACCGCAGACCTCGTGTAACCACACCAGCCCAGGACCTCCACATCCAGCAGGTTCACCTCCAAGATCGTCTGAGACCAGCCACCCAGACAGCTGCTGGAACAATTGGTTTGCACAACCAAACAATTTCTGCACAAACTGTCAGAAACCGTCTCAGGGACGCTCAACTGCATGCCCGTCGTCCTCATCGGGGTCTTGACCTGACTCCAGCTCGTCGCCGTAACAGACTTGTGTGGGCAAATGCTCACATTCGATGGCGTCTGGCACGTTGGAGAGGTGTGCGCTTCACGGATGAATCATGGTTCACATTGTTCAGGGCAGATGGCAGCTGAGAATGTTCCAGTTCTTGCATGGCCAGCATACTCACCGGACATGTCACCCATTGAGCATGTTCGGGATGTGCTTGACCGGCGTATACGACAGCGTGTACCAGTTCCCACGAATATCCAACAACCTCGCACAGCCATTGAAGTGGAGTGGACCAACATTCCACAGGCCACAATTGACAATCTGATAGACTCCATGCGACGATGTGTTGCACTGCATGAGGCAAATGGTGGTCACACCAGATACTGACCGGTTCTGGGTCCCCAGACCCCCAATAGCACAAAAAACTGCACATTCCAGGGTGGCCTTTTGTTGTGGGCAGTCTGAGGGACACTTGTGCACTACTCATGATGTCAGATCAGCATCCTGATGTGGCACACCTGTGAGGTGGGATGGATTATCTCAATATAGCAGATGTGCCCACTACCACACATTTGGACTGATTTGTGACCACTGTTTGGGAGGGATGGTTATATTGTGTATCTGGAATGAATTTTAGGTCTCTACGTCCATCCCATGGGGAATGGGAGCAGTAACAAAGGTGTTGCATTTATATTTTTGTTGAGTGTACATACAGGGAGTGCAGAATTATTAGGCAAATGAGTATTTTGTCCACATCATCCTCTTCATGCATGTTGTCTTACTCCAAGCTGTATAGCCTCGAAAGCCTACTACCAATTAAGCATATTAGGTGATGTGCATCTCTGTAATGAGAAGGGGTGTGGTCTAATGACATCAACACCCTATATCAGGTGTGCATAATTATTAGGCAACATCCTTTCCTTTGGCAAAATGGGTCAAAAGAAGGACTTGACAGGCTCAGAAAAGTCAAAAATAGTGAGATATCTTGCAGAGGGATGCTGCAGTCTCAAAATTGCAAAGCGCCTGAAGCGTGATCATCGAACAATCAAGCGTTTCATTCAAAATAGTCAACAGGGTCGCAAGAAGCGTGTGGAAAAACCAAGGCACCAAATAACTGCCCATGAACTGAGAAAAGTCAAGCGTGCAGCTGCCAAGATGCCACTTGCCACCAGTTTGGCCATATTTCAGAGCTGCAACATCACTGGAGTGCCCAAAAGCACAAGGTGTGCAATACTCAGAGACATGGCCAAGGTAAGAAGGGCTGAAAGACGACCACCACTGAACAAGACACACAAGCTGAAACGTCAAGACTGGGCCAAGAAATATCTCAAGACTGGTTTTTCTAAAGGTTTTATGGACTGATGAAATGAGAGTGAGTCTTTTTTTTTTTCTTTTTTTTTTTGTGTCCCGTTTGGATCTTTAGCCATCAGAATTGTTGTCTTAAGGCCAAGAAAGATGCCAAGCGGATTTATTTTACCAAGTGGATCATCATGGCCTTGCCATATTGGTCCATTTGATTGACCTTTATTATAATTATGAATTTATTTTATTTTCAGTTCCTACAAACGGGACAGACATGACTGGGTGATAGGACAGGGAGAAAGAATGAAAGAAAGAGAGGGAGAGAAAGAAAACCAAGGGGGAGAAGAGACAGTGAGAAGGGGGGGAAGAAAGGGAAAAAAAACAAAAAAAACAAAACAAAACACCTGGGTCACCTGTATGGAGAAAAAAAACAGAAGAGAAAGCAAACAACAAAGAGCAACATAATAAAAAAAACGGCACCATCACAATAAACTAGCTAGCAGTAGATATCAGTAGATACTAAATAATAAACGATATTGTGCAGCACGCAAGATAGACAGCGCACAATGTGCTTTGAGGCAGCAGCCAAGAAAGCTGTAGTCCGCGTCTGTGAACACCCGTGTGTACACCTGTGTGCATACCTGTGTGGATCAGCATGCTTGCATTCCAAAGGTTTCTCCATGTAACGATCTGCTAGGGAGTGTGGGGAGCCACAGCCCCGTCCTCCAGGGTATGAAGCAGGTATGGAGGAGATCAAAACTCCAGACATCCAGAGGCCCCAGAACACAAGAGACCAAGGAAGACCAACAGAGGGGCAGCCGCGCCACTGTCCCAGTAAGAGCTGAGGAGAGTCCCAGATGAGGGCTCACTCAGCAGCCGCGGAGCAGAAGCCAGGGGGAGTTGCAGTGACGCGCCCGTGAGCTCCGCCGGCAGCCAGCTGTGCCTGAGTGACCGAGCCCTAGGCCGAGAGGCCGGGGGCACCCCACCTCCGAAGTGGCCCGAGCGAGCCCCAGGCTCCAGGCCCCGATAAGCGGCCGCCAAGGAGTGAGCCGGTCTGTACCCGGACGCCCACCCCCAGACACAAAGAACCACCAACGCACCGACACCTGAGGGAGTCCGCCACTGGCAGGGGAAGTGGTGGTGGGTGGAGATAGGCCTCCAAACCTTGAGAGTGAGTCTTGATGGGCCAGATGGATGGGCCCGTGGCTGGATTGGTAAAGGGCAGAGAGCTCCAGTCCGACTCAGACGCCAGCAAGGTGGAGGTGGAGTACTGGTTTGGGCTGGTATCATCAAAGATGAGCTTGTGGGGCCTTTTCGGGTTGAGGATGGAGTCAAGCTCAACTCCCAGTCCTACTGCCAGTTTCTGGAAGACACCTTCAAGCAGTGGTACAGGAAGAAGTCTGCATCCTTCAAGAAAAACATGATTTTCATGCAGGACAATGCTCCATCACACGCGTCCAAGTACTCCACAGCGTGGCTGGCAAGAAAGGGTATAAAAGAAGAAAAACTAATGACATGGCCTCCTTGTTCACCAGATCTGAACCGCATTGAGAACCTGTGGTCCATCATCAAATGTGAGATTTACAAGGAGGGAAAACAGTACACCTCTCTGAACAGTGTCTGGGAGGCTGTGGTTGCTGCTGCACGCAATGTTGATGGTGAACAGATCAAAACACTGACAGAATCCATGGATGGCAGGCTTTTGAGTGTCCTTGCAAAGAAAGGTGGCTATATTGGTCGCTGATTTGTTTTTGTTTTGTTTTTGAATGTCAGAAATGTATATTTGTGAATGTGGAGATGTTATATTGGTTTCACTGGTAAAAATAAATAATTGACATGGGTATATATTTGTTTTTTGTTAAGTTGCCTAATAATTATGCACAGTAATAGTCACCTGCACACAGATATCCCCCTAAAATAGCTAAAACTAAAAACAAACTAAAAACTACTTCCAAAAACATTCAGTTTTGATATTAATGAGTTTTTTGGGTTCATTGAGAACATGGTTGTTGTTCAATAAAAACATTATTCCTCAAAAATACAACTTGCCTAATAATTCTGCACTCCCTGTATAACCTTTCACAATATTAGTTCCTGAAAACGCAATTTCAGATCATTTCCAGCTAAGCATTTCCAACTGGTGAAGCTTGGTTCCCAAACCCATTAGGGAACTATAGGGGTTTGTTGCTGTTTTTTCAAGTGGATGTTTTTTAAGTTGTTTTTTTTCCAGTGGAACTTTCCATTCATTTCACGCAGTCTGTCAATTCCAAAGGAAATGAAGTACTTGTAAATCTAAAACAGTTTTGTGGGTGTTTAAAAATTTTTTTTTTTTAAATGACGCTTGAAGTCCAATTAAAACAACACCAAGTTATTTTTAAATTCATGTGGTAGTCATCTGGTATTTATTTACACAGATTTGATAGAGGTAGAACCATCTGTATTATGTACAAATTTACATTAAAAATAAATACTTACAGAATACATACAAATTCATATTCATATGCAGTCCTAGTAATCAAACCACATGTTGCCAAAACAGTTAATGTAGTATTACAGGATATTGCAGGGTTTTAGTTTTTTTTGGTCTTCAAACTTACATTCACACATACTTGGACAAGTATAGCAAGAAAATACTTGTCTTGTTCTTGACACAAAACAAGTATTTTCTTGTCATCTCAAACTCCACAAAGCAAACGGTGTTATATCAACACAAATTATTCCAAGAAATGTGAAATGATGAGTGGTGCTCCCAAAGCCTCTGAATACACACAGGTGCGCTCCGATACTGATACCAATTCAGGACTTGGTATCAGTATGGGGTGGGGAGTACATGAATTCAAAACTACTAATAATGGATATTAAAAGGTAGAACTTGGCCTGTTGCAACAAATACACACCGGGAATGTGCCAGACAAGTCGGCACACACCACCACAGTTCTCAAAGGACATCTAAAATATGGAAACCCCCTGTGTAAGGTTGACACTTGCTGTGCATGGCCTTAAAAGGCAAAAATTAATCTTTCGGTCTTCGCACAGAGCAGCAAATTGCTTGCCTAAATTGTGCACAACCTACCAAGGAACAAAGCCCTAAACACTAGAAGGTGCGGAGATTTTTCTCGGTATTGGGTGGAGCAAATTAGAGGAAAAGGGCATTAAAAAACATTTGACCTAACATTCATTTGATGCAGAGGCTAAGGTTTGCCAACTACGTCAAACGTCAAGGCTAAATACTGCAGGGTTTTCTTTCCGTTTGTCAGAATAATTTGTTGCTGTAGCTATGACCTTAAAAAAAAAAAAATCCCATTTTCAGTTTGCTTAGACAAAAAGTCATTGTATTTAACTGAAAAAAATAAAATAAAATAAAAATCTATACACCCATCTAGTTTGGGAAATGTGTGGTATCACTGTCAGCTCAAACATCCTGTCACATGATTTTCAGAAGAAAGGGCCACAGGAACAGCCGTTGCAACCAGCGATTAAATTTCAATGACTGGAGCCGGAATGTAAGACAGGAAGCTTATGATACGATTAGGCAAGTCCAGCCTAGAAACAACTTTATGCGCTCTTGTGCCGAGAATCCTCCTCACTGCCACCCTGCTGATCTGCTGTAAACTCAGGGGGTATTCTAAGACAGAAAAAGCCATCTCAAGTTATGCGTCACTAGTGTTCTTGATGGACTAAAATAAACAGGATGTACTCTAGGTGGATACTCACTCTCAAAGAACTCGAGGCAGAGATACGATGGGGATCCCAGAGTGGTGTAGTGGATAGGTTTCTTGTTCAGGTTATCCGTGGCGTACACATTCCCCCCAAACTCCACAAGCAACTCAATCAAATCTGTGTTTTTTGCCTTGGCTGCGTGATGAAGAGCTGTCTCGTGGAGCTTGGCAGCATTCACGTTTGCCCCTTTCAAAAAGGAAAACAAACTTCTAAGAGAGAGGAAAGCGCTGCTGATGCCCAAGGTTGTGTTTTTAATAGAAATTATAAACATCATAATCACTTTATAAAGCAAGAAATATATTTGACACCAAATATTACAGTAAAAAAAATATATTATATACATATATCCTGGTAATGGCTGCAGGTCCTTTTCAGTAAGTCCATTACTATCAATGTTGTTTGCTGACCTTTTTAGCCTAAATGTATTATAAAAAAAACCGACTGAGCTAGCTCTCTGTACAGATAAGAGAGGAACCTTCAGATCCAGTGGGGTATGCTTGTAGCTGCTACTACTGACAGACGTTGGAACAGTGAAACTGTGGATGGATCCACTGATACAATTATTAATAGAGGATACTGAAAGACGAGGTCCACGCTCAAAGTCTAAAGTGCTACGCATAACAATGAAGAGAAGTCAACTTCCTGTGTTTAGATGTTTAGAAATACGTGTCCTGTTTGTAGTTAAGCTGTGAAGGTAAAACTTGACTGTACAGAAAATTATTTTTCGTCTTATTCAGAAAAAGTTTAAAAATGCCGGTACCCTGCATGCCATGCCATTTTAAGTTTTAGACTGAGAGTTACATAGATGCCATGTACAAGAGATTTTATTATGGAACAAGCCATGATATCATGGTTATAATAATGCTGTCATTACTAAGTAATGCAGCATGTTTTGTTTCTGCTCTAAAAACAGCTTATTAGTCCTTTTCTTTTTTTAAAGAAGCACAGATAAGACAGCATATCACACTAAATTATCTCTAATCCATGATGACTGAATAGTACATCATAACTGTAAATTTCATTAGCCGTGGTGCGCAGAGGAAACGCCAGAGATCCTTTTCAGTGATTTGAATTCGCTTAATCTTAATATCGACAAGATATGCAGTCACACGAACCTTGTTATGGACAGGCAGCCAGTCAGCTCATTTTTACAGAGAGGCAACTATACTAAAGTAATAATACATCAAGAGCAAACAAAGTAGCTGTGTGAGCTAAAAATCTGATGGTAATTTATTGCATTGATAAATCCATCAAGTTCAAAACAATCTCCAACAACACTGGCTGAAATGCAAACCCAAACCGTGACACAGCCTCCACCGTGTTTTACAGACGGTTGTAGACACTGTCATGCCTCTCTCCTGACCTCCTCTGTAAAATTACCAATTTGGAATTATCACTCCATAAGACTTGTTGCCCCCAATTTGAAAAAATTGATCACCTGAAAGGCCAGATGCATCTCTCACATCCGAAATACTATATTATGTCTGTCAAACTTTTATCTTTAGCATTTGACACAGATTCGTTTTACCCAACAATGTGCCAGTAACAAAGTCCTTAAAGATACCAAAGTTTTCAGGGCTAACTGGACACTGTTTCGTCTTTTTTACGCTTGAATGATTCATAGTGTTCAGTGGTTTAAGCAAGAAAATATTCCCATAAAAAAGGTCAGACACAAGGACTGGGCTGAATATGAGTGAAAAAGCAACCAATATCCAAAGAAACACTTTGAAAGGTCTTTGGCAAGCCTGGAGAACTATTGTTTAAGACCACTTTACAAAAAGATAGTACAAGAATATCCGCCTAATTGGCAGAAAAATATAAAGAAATAAGGAATAGCCCAAGACTTAGTCACATTAACGAATTTCATTAAACTAATGTGTAAGAGAGAGTTGCAGTCCCAGTGGTGTTTAATGGTCTGCGAGTAAAGAATAGATATAAAAATAGAATCCAAACACTGGCTTAATCTGTGCAAATGTGATATAAAGTCCATAAGTACAAAGAGGTGCTCTGTTGTAGAACGACAGATTACTGCTAAAGCTACAGAACCTTAAAAATAACTGGAAAAATGTCAAGAAATAAAGTTGGATTCAATAATCTATACTCATTATAGATTTTGTGAATCCATCAGGGAAACAAAAAAAGATATACCATAAAATAAAGTAAAAATTACAAAATTTAGACCCTCCTACTATATGAGCACACAGGTCTGATTGATGAATCTTCCACTAATGTGATGCTATTCTCAGAGAATTCAGGTTCACAGGTTAAGTTAGCATGGCGATATAACCTGGTAATAAGTGAACCACCCTGAAATTTCCCTGAAAAGCTCAAATCCTGCTTTGTGGTACAGGCTTCTGGACTCACCTGCGTTGAGGAGAACTTTGGCGCAGTCATAATGTTGCCTGGCACAGGCTACATGGAGCGGTGTCCCATAGTGGCAGTCATGGGCCTCCATGTGAGCTCCTTGATTGATCATGAGCTGAACACAATCTGAATTCCCTGATATTTACAAAAAAAACAAACACAGAAAATAACTAATTCCAGTTGTATAAACCTAAAAAGTTCTGCAGTTGAGCAAATGTTGGCGATGCAGGTAGGTACATTTGGAATTTTTGGCAGCAATAATTATTAGTATCAGAAGAATTAGTCCTTTTCGGTGTCCCTCTCAATGCATTTGTAACCATGTGTAATGCCATTAAGAGAATCACAGCTGGACTTTAAGAACTTTTTTCTTATAAATATTAAGCTGAAAATAGTTGTGAAACTCAAGGTGACAGTCTGTAAGTGGTTTGTTCTGCATCCTTCCATCTTTCTACAGAGAACCTGAAGGTCGGCACAAAGACTTTTTTCCCAGGACTGCTTTCCAAATAATTTTGTCCTACATGTTCCAGTCATTCCGATCCATATGAACTATATATCTTTAACAGGTGAAGCTGTGCATGCATACGGTTATCTTTTTGACTTGGGCTGTGTGGTGTGCTATCTGAAGCTTTGGTGATTCTATGACAGATGGACTGGGAACATAGTAAATTCCACAAGAACAAAAAAATAAATAAACAAACATCTCTGTCTCACTTTTGTAGTCATTATTGTAAAACGAGTATGTCACAAACCAAGCACCAAGCCCCAGGCCCTGGATGCAGTTTCAGTCACGTAGACATTTACATCATTGCAAAGCTGCGCCCACAATCACCGTCTGTCTTAACACTGGTCAGCGAGAGTCGGTGAACCTGCTCGTCTAGTTTTTTGTTTTAAATACAATGGAGAGGATTTGTGCAGGTGGAGCTACAGCTTTAAGTACACTGATTCCCATTGTATTCACCACCGGAGCCATAAAGGTCTCTGTTACAATACAGCTGCACTGTTTCTCCACTAGAGAGACCATCTTGCCAAAAGTGTTGGCTCATCTGCCTTCACACCCAATTTGAATTCGAGTTACATCCCGTTCCTAATCCATGGGGTTTAATATAATGTCAGCCCACCCTTTGCAGCTATAACCATTCAAGTCTTCTGGGAAAGCTTTCCATAAGGTTTAGGTGTCTATGGGAACTTTTGACCATTCTTCCAGAAGTGCATTTGTGAGAGACACATGAAGCCTGGCTCACTGTCTCCACTCGAATTCTTCCCAAATGCCTTTTATCATGTTGAGGTCAGGACTCTGTACAGACCAGTCAAGTTCTTCCACACCAAACTGGCTCATTCATGTCTTTATGGACCTTGCTTTGCGCACTGGTGCGCAGTCATGTCGCAACAGGTAGGGCCGACACCCAACTGGGGTCGAAAACCATTGCATGAAGCTCTCTACACCATGTTCTTGAGCTAATCTGAAGAACACATGAAATTTGGAGGTCTATAGCGACTGACTCTGCAGAAAGTTGCCGACCTCTGCGCACTATGCGCTTCAGCATCCGCTGACCCTGCTCTGCGATTTTTACGGGCCTTACCACTTTGTGGCTGAGTTGCTTCCACTTATTTATTATACCACTACAGTTGACTGCTGAATGTTTGGTAGCGAGGATATTTCACGATTGGACTTGTTGCACAGGTGCCACACTCAAATTCACTGAGCTCCTGAGAGTGACCCATTCTTTCACAAATGTTTATAGAAGCAGTCTGCATGCCTAGCTTCTTGATTTTATACACCTATGACCACGAAAGTGATTGGAACACCTGAATTCAATGATTTTGAAGGGTGACTGAATACATTTGGCAGTATAGTGTATTTTAATCAACTGACATGGCTTAAAATATGATTATGCACAATGTTGTGTTGGAAAACACACACCTCCCATGCAGGCTTCATGAAGAGGTGAGAAGGTGAACAGGGGAGGATTTACAGTTGCTCCATACTCCAGCAGCAGCTTGACGCAATCCAGACTTCCAGCTGCACACGCATCACACAGCGGCGTGCTACCATCGATGTTACGAGCATCCACCTGAAGGACAGGGCCGTAATGACAGCACACATGCACCATGTTGAGCTACCACCTAAGCCACCAACTGTGCTTGATTCTCTAGTGACGTGCCGAAGTCAGGTAGCACCACAAAACCTCCTCACCTGTGCGCCAGCATCCAGCAGCAGTCTAACACACTGGGCCTGTCCCTGTATACAGGCCTCGTGCAGGGGGGTGATGGAGTCCACAGCCACTATGTTAACTGCGGCACCTCCCTCGATCAGCTGCTGCAACTGGAAGGCCCTGCCTTGTGCAGCAGCCTCGTGCACTGCTGACCGGTCTGTCCAGAATCCAAGGCCGTGTGCTGCAAAGATGTGAAACCAAACAAAACCTAAGAGCATCTATTCACAGTCAAGGGAAGGGGGTTGAGGGGATGTATGAGCGTTTATACTACTTCTTTCTAAAAGAAAAGCCAGAGTGTTTCTTCTCCTCATAAAACATGCAGCTCTTAATCCCATGTCAAGACAACTTTGTATAGAGTTACCCATTAAATAACATAAAGGGATGACAAATGCGCAGAAAGGAGAAGAGGTTTGGGAACATGAGAAAGTGGTTTCGCACAACCTAAACACAAATGACACTAGTGCTCTGCACGTGTGCAGCAGGGCCCAACCCACCTGAATAGCACATGTATTTGTCTTACATGGTGTGAGGTGTGCGTTATAATGGATCCACTGCTGAACTAGTTGCACAACAGGCAGTTCAATGCCTGCTGGTTTCAGCAACGAGCTTAAAGCGCGACGTCATGCTCTCAGACGAACGTAAACCAGTTTAAGATACCATGCTGGCTTAAGGCTAGCCTTAATCAGTATCGTCAAAGAAAGATGAAAGGCAGGCAATGAAAAGCTAATAAATCTAGGATCTGCTGGCATCATCGGGAAAATAACCGCCAGACTCCTTATTGAAACGGCTGTCTCGGTTACTGTTAGTCACCAACTCTAAGCTACTTACCGATTTCTCCATACAAGGACGGTCTGGCCCGTGTGATCTCCATTTCATGTTCCTGTTTTTGTCTCTCTCAGCAACGCAGATTTAGCCGAGCATGGTTTTCATTTTGAAGCAAAGCAACAAAAATCGAAAGGACTGCATTACTACGAGTACTACCACACACACCGTGCAACCCTGTGCAGAGTCTGAGCAGCTGAGGTTTCGCCTAAATAAACAACGCCGGGGAATTCTGGGATATGTAGGCGAAGGGTTATGATTATTACAGATAAATGAAAATAATAAAGGACACACACACACACATTTATATATGTATATATAAAAATAAATATATATTGTATATGTTGTGGTTCTTTAGTAATGCAGAATAATAGGACATATGTATTTATTTGTGTAGCACATTTTTAAAATCCATTTTGTGGATTCAAAGCATAGACTGTATATAAAAGACGGACAGAGCAATGGGTTTTGGACCTATTTTGAAGCCTTGGTATTTTTCATTTTTGGAAGCAGAAGTTGCTACTTGTGATGCAACATGAAAAAGTCCACCAAAGATGTAGACCAAATCCCAGTGTCGTGATAGAAAGTGTACTCTGGTTTTTGCCAAAAAACAAAACAAAAAACAAAGAATCCGTAAATATTTAAAATGTTGATCTATATTGTGTCAAATGTATCTTATGAGATACTTATGAGTCTTATGAGTCATTTTGAGCCAGAAAGAACATTCCTGACACATGCTGCAATCATTTTTTTTTGATTGTAGCTTTTGACTGACTATAATGTAGAACACAGAGAACAAAAAACATATAATTCCTTTACCTTCTTTTTTTATACAACCCCTTCACAACTCCTGTTGACTACAGCCGATAAGCAAAGATTTAAAACAAAACAAAACACGGAAACATTGGAAATCACTTTTTGGCACAACACCGGCTGAGCACAAAAGCAATAATGCAATCAGGAACCACCAGACTTTCCCATATTTCAGATGTTTGTCATCTTAGTGTCACTGTCTGCAAATATCTCTCCACACACTGTATCCCAAAAAATGCAATTTATTGAACTGTGTCTAATGCACAAATTGTTAATATACAGTGTACTGTTCTGCCTCGGTTCCTCATCCAGGAAACTTTTGGCTGACACTGTGTCTAATCAGGGGTTTCTTAAAAGTAAGAAACAGTTTACAAACACGAGACTAATATCTGTTTACATCATAACATGACACCTGTCAATCCATTATCCTGTTGGATGACTTATAAAAATGTGTAAATTGTTTTTTGTACCAAAGTGTAAACATGTTTTGTAATCCTTTAAAAATTGGTGTATTAACATAGCGTGAATCACATCACTTCTGGAGTCAACCCCAGTTTTTCACACTTCCATGTTAGCTTCCTTTTTCAGTTTCTCTACTTTATCTAATGACTTTAACCAGCAAATAAAAAAGGTTTACATTGCTGTCAATAATGTGGTATGTAAAGAACTGTTTTTTATTCATTTGGTTATGGCATGTGCCTGTTTAGAGCTAGCTTGGCGAGCTTTAGCTAGCATGACACATTAACTCATGATGTCACTTAAGTGCTATTTTATATTTCAATTGCAACTCCTAGGTTAGATAAGGTTAAGTAAACAGGTTAACTGTGGGATGGATTCCACCCTATTTCATGATCCATAGTAACAGTGGTTATTGGTGAGTTCATTCTGGTAGCTATTTGTATGGCCACAGGACTAACCATTAGCCACCCAGTTACCACTTCCCCTCAATGGAAAGGGAAAAGTCATTTAACCAATGTTTTTAGATTTTAGTTTTTTTGTTTGTTTGTTTGTTTGTTTGTTTGTTTGTTTGTTTGTTTGTTTGTTTTTCTGGAGACACCCTCATGAAGCATTAAAAATTAAACTTCCTCTTTCAGCTTTCATCTCTCTCGATCCTATCGGATCCCCAGCATCGTCTTCTGTCACACCAACCTTCTGCGTGTCCTCGTTTGCTGTAGGCTGCTGGGTTGAGCATTAACAACAGAGGTGTGGACTCGAGTCACATGACTTGGACTCGAGTCAGACTCGAGTCATTAATTTTATGACTTTAGACTTGACTTGAAAAAATGTTCTAAGACTTGTGACTTGACTTGGACTTTTACACCAATGACTTGGGACTTGAATTGGACTTGAACCGGTTTACTTGAAAAGACTTGATATTTTACCCCAAATATAAAATTTAACATGCATATTATATAGAGATTGAAAATGTGACGTCATTCACGGGTAGAACCGCAAAGGATTCTGGGAATTCGTGGCAAGCAGTACTAGCGCACGCAGGCTTTCAATTAAAATCAGTCACACAGCGATAAAAAGAAACACAAAAATGTCAAGAAGCTGTTGTATTATTAACTGCAATAGCCGGTCGCATGACAGCCACGGGAAGCCGACGGGTAAAGAGATCGGTTGTTATCGGATTACGTCGTTGAAGAGAAATTGTTCGAGCCATGTTTCCGAAGTAACAAAGAGGCGACTGGATTGCAGCCATTCAAAGACCAAATATAACGTCCCAGAACACTCCAGCTCACAGGTTAGTCTGCTCCAAGCATTTACACAAAGGTCAGTGTTTTGTAGTAGTTAATGCGTCATTTTTCTTAACATAATTGGTGATATAGGTTACAAGCAAGTCTGGCGCTGAACAGAAATTGTCGCGCTATGCTCCTTTGTTTATTGTGCATAAATAGTGAATTGTCCTGACACAATATTGCGTTTCGCTTCTGTTATTATGGTACATTGACAAAAATATATACTTTTATTCACAGGATAAAACAGGTTTTTTGTATCACTAATTGTCCAGTACGATTACAGCATATATTGTTGTCACTGCTACATTTCTGTGATGCTACCAGAAATTATTTCCACTACTAATTAATTACCGTTGAGCTCAAAGGTTATATTAATAAACGGTTAACGAATGTGTATTTATGATGACGATTTGTGAGGCTGGTAAACTTATGATACGTACGATGGTCTTTACTTTCTACACGGTGCATTTCAAGGTCCTGCACCCATCCGTCGGTAAACTGTACCTGGGCTTGTTGCAGTGACCTGAAGTTACTAAAGTTCATGAGTGTATGCACTCACTCCAAGAACCGTATGATTATAAATATGCATATAAATATGCTACAATGAGATAGCTGACTTCATCTAACTAGCAAATGTTGTCCAGGCTACGTTGGTGATACAGTTTTTTTTAATGTGTATGATATTTTTGTCATGCGATTTTAAAGCTGGTCCTACAACCGCATCCAAGAATAACATGCAGCTTATCTCAGAACTGTCGGTGAAAATTATTCTTGGAGCTAGGTTTAATTGAGCTGCATTTTAAAGAGGTGCAATTTCACAATTTGTGTATATTTTCTAAGTTCACTATTTTGTCATGTGTTGAGAAAAACACAGATTTAAAAATTACATGGTCTAATATTTACATTTAGCATAACTGCAACATTATTTTTTCGTTGTTTTTTTTAAAGACTCGAAAGGACTTGAAATTCAAAGTTTCAGACTTGTGACTTGACTCGGACTTTTACACCAGTGACTTGAGACTCGACTCTGACTTGCCTGACATTACTTGAGACTTGACTTGAGACTTGAGGATAAAGACTTGAGACTTACTTGAGACTTGCAAAACAATGACTTGGTCCCACCTCTGATTAACAACTAAGCCTTGCAAATCTTTTACACAGGAGGTTGTAGTCAAGGTGCAACATGTAAGATTTTTGGCCTTAAGCATTCAAGGTTAAACAAAAATTATCAACAAAATTTGAAGAAATAAAAGATCTGACTCCAGGTGAACTGTGTTGGAAAGATTTTTGCTGAAGTGAGCACGCTTGCTAGCTTCTCATACTTGCACTTTATATCTAACGGCAGAGCTTCTATTGTAATATAAATGGAATTACAAATTAGCTATCAGTGTTTGTGTTTACCATTGCCAGACAATGCAATGACACTGCAATCATTCACCAACCAACATGAATGATGATGTGACGGAGAAGCAACATTATATCAGCTTGCAATGACAAGGCCTCCAGTTCTTGTCTTCTTTAAGACCATGAGCACACACACACATTGTGGCAGTGTATGTTTGTCAGCGCTTGTTGTTCCTTAAACAAGCAAACCATAAGCATCAATCAGCGACCACACAGCAGTGTGTTTTGAAGCCGTTTATCAGACATGTACACTTCTCACCATCGTGTGAGTCTTCTTCAGAACACTTGTCACCTCCTCTCAGGCTTAATGGATCACATTTGCCAAATGCCTGTGAGATTCTGCTTATTTCATGTCTGTTTTTAGATGCATGTCATTATCCTGTTTGTGCAACCATGTCCTGTGATTATGACACTGCATGTCTTTCTTCAGAACGAGCTGATACACTTCTAATATCACTCTTCTTTTCTTCATCTCCATGCTGTGCATTTATTTTTACTTTATTATTTTCTGTGAGCAAAAACGTAATTTCACTTATCAAAAGATTCTCATTTTGTTTCATCTATCCAAACAATTTTCTTCTAGAAGCATTGTTATTTGTCAATATATATTTAATATCTTTTGACTTTGTTACGGTCTGTTTTTCCAAAGTTATGGTTTCTGGCTATAGAAGCCACTTACCTTTACAGAGTGCTGTAATCAGATACCAGTCCATCTTGATCTTGGAGGTCAGCTTTTATACTGTGTTTCAAGCATTTCTTTATTTGTCATTCCACAATTAGCTTAGCTAAACAAGGTACAAGTGACAGTCATAACAAAGGCATAGCCTCTCCAATTGTGTCATTCTCCTATCCACTCACAGGCTGGGTTCATCATGAAGCTTCTGTTTGTTCCTTGTAGCATGTAGATTCCGTCATGGTTACTTACCTGGAAAAACGTGCATAGATGCTTTTCTGCACATCACTAGCCATAGCTCTGCATTTGCTGGCCGCTTTCAAGCCATTTGTCATGTCTAAGAAGACAAGCAGAACACAAAAAATAAATCAACACAAGAGAGGAAGTAAATATGACTGTTTATTTCCTGTAGAACCCTTGAATCACAAATGTTGCAACGTGGGGGAAGATTATTCTTAAAGACTTTTTTTTTAAACATTTAAACATTTGCAGTCAACAGTAGCTTGACTAGAAACTCTAAGCCCAAGATCAAGAATCACCAAAAATTCACATTTTCAATATGGGAAAATGAGGTACAGAGACCAAAACTGTGCTTGTATCA